TCTAATAAATAGACACCAAATGAAAACATGCTCACTAACTCTCTTAACATAGAAAAACAAAATAAATCTAACTGGGGCTTATGTATGTGTATGATGTGTGTGCGTGTGCGTGTGCGTGTGTGTGTGTGTGTGTGTGTGTATGTGTGTGTGTGTGTGTGTGTGTGTGTGTGTTTCTAAGGATCCAAAGGGAGCTTGGGCCTGTGGCTCACTCGCTGCCCCCTCCTGTGGTTCTACACCTGGCGATGGAATTGTCAAGTGGGAACCTTTGGGGAGGAGACGTCGCAGCTATCATTCAAAAGGTAGTTTTGGTGGCCCAAGCGGGTTAAAATCCATTTGACTGCAATCTCGCTAGCGTAAGGGAGAAGGGGAACAGAGCTCAGTGTAAGTTAGGATGTTCCCAGCAGTTCAGGGGTGGTGCTTAGCCCTTCCGGTGTGGGAGTTAGAAATAGGCTAAGGCACTTGGGTGCGGTGCTGCATGCCTCAGTCCCAGCACCGTGGAGGTGGAGGCAGTGGGATTGTGAAGTTGAGGCTGCCTGGGCTTACATAGTGAGTCTCAGGCCAGCCTGGGTTGTAGGACGCTTACCCTGTCAAACCAGCCAGGGCTGTGACTATGCCTCAGTTGGTGGAGTGTCTGGCTAGCCACACAAGACACAGGGTTCAGTCCTGAGTGTGCTGCATGTTCCAGAGTTCCAAGCTCTAGAGAGGGTGAGGCGGATGGTGTCTGTAGATGGAACTTTTCCCCTCCAGGCCTCTTCCCCAGCCCACAGTCCTCTTCTCTGTGGAGAAAAGTGTGTGAACTTATCATAAGTGACAAATGCGTGAGACACTTTCTACCATGGTGGGCTGTGTGGGCTCTGGAGACAGTGGTCAGATACGTGGACTCAGATCTGCAGAAACATCGAGAAATTCAAAAGGCTGATGAGGGGCAAAGTGAAGTGGGGGTGGGGGAATGAGGAGGGAGCCAGCGAGGAGACATCTGGGCTGGGAGAGAAAAGTGCTGAGGTGGAAAAAGGATAAGACACAGAAGGCTGCATGTGGCTCACTTGGAAGAGTTCCTGCTCCTCAGACACAAAACCCTGGCTTCCATCCCCAACACTGAAGAAACAGGCCCCGGCGGCTCCCACCTGTGATCTCTGATCTCAGCATATCCGAGGCAGGAGCATCACATCGAGTTCGAGGCCAGCCTGATACAAAAGACCCTGCCCCTCAAAGAGAAAGAACAGGAAACAAGGGAAATGGTACCATTACCTGTCTGTCTGTGGCCTCCCTGTCTAACGGGAGACCACTACCGAGGACAGACACCAACTCATTGAGGGTGGCCAGTGGCCACAACTGTGTGAACCTATATGCTTAGGTGGCCTTTATTTATTTATTGCCACTCCCAGGGCTTGAACCTAAAACCCACAGATGCTAGTCAAGTGCTCTGCCTCTGAGCTATGTCCCCAAGCAGTTAGGTAGGGCTTTATAACTAAATATTTTTTTAATTATTATCATTATTTTGGTTTTTTGAGACAGGGTTTCTCTGTGTAGCCCTGGCTGTCCTGGAACTCACTCTGTAGACCTGGATGGTCTGATTTATTTATGTGTCTGTTCACATGTGTGTGTGCACTGATGGAAGCCGGAAAAGGAAGTCAGACAGACCATCTGGAGCTGCAGTCATGGGCAGTCAGGTGCTGGGAGCAAACTCTTTTTTTTTTTTTTTTTTTTTTGGTTTTTTGAGACAGGGTTTCTCTGTCTAGTTTTGGAGCCTGTCCTGGATCTCGCTCTGTAGACCAGGCTGGCCTCCAACTCAGAGATCCGCCTGGCTCTGCCTCCCGAGTGCTGGGATTAAAGGCGTGCGCCACCACGGCCCGGCCTCACCCTTCTTCTCTGCAAGCACAGCAGGTGCTCTTCACTGCTGAGGGTCTCTCCAGCCCCTACCCATTCCTTCGACCAGAAACCAGGAATTAGAGCAGATTAGCAAGAATTAAAAGAAAGAAAAGTATAAAAGTAATCTATAAATAGACACAGTCAGGGGTTGTAGTCACTCAAAAAAGTTTTTGTTTTTGTTTTTAAAAAAACACTTTTATTTGGGGGCTGGTACACACCGTAGTTCTAGTGTAGAGATCAGAAGACAATGGTTGGTTCTCTCCTTTCACTGTGTAGTTGTTGGGAATCGAACTTGGGTCTTCAGCCTTGTCAGTAAGCACCCTTACCCACTGAGCCATCTTGATGGCCCCGAATTGGCCTTCTTTCGATGGCTCAACAAAGCCCGGCTACCTCCACCTTCCTGCCTTTGTGTTAGCCAGTGATTATCCTTTCTTCTTCCTCTACAATCGTTTTCTTCCTCCTCCTCTTCTTTTCTCTTTTGAGACAGGGTCTCCAGTAACACAGACTGGCCTTGAACTTCCTATACAGGGAGTGATCCTCCTGCCTCCAACCAGGGAGTGTTGACATAACAGAGTGTCATCTGGTTGGAGCATGTTGTAAAATGAAGACATAAAAACAGCACTTCCCCATAGTGGTGGGCATGCAGTAACTCTCCGGGTCCTAGGAGCTCAGCACGGTAAAGTTCTCAGAGATCACCCTGGGGCACCCTGGTCCCAGGTGTCTACCAACGCTGTCCCTAGGGATCAGGGAGATATTAGCCAATACACTTCTGGGTGAGCCGAGCCTTGTTGCATTACTGATTTATCTTCAGGATTTCCATAAGTGCTTGGTGAAGGATCTTGTAACTTGGGTGTACTGACTGTGATGAGGACCACCCCACCCAGTGTGAGGGACACCCAAGCTGGGGTTTGCAGCTCTTTAAGTAGCCCCTTTTTTGTACAAACGATGTATTAGGAAGATGTTACTATGAAATACAATTGATGTTTGCTTTCTGTTTAATTTTATTCATTCCCCTATTGTTGTCTTGGGATGCTGTGGATGCCACCCATGACTTTGTATTGGGAAAATAAAAGAGAATTACTGCTTTTCTTCTTTTTCTTTTTCTTTTAGATGTATGTGCATGCTGGGGCTGGAGAGATGGCTCGGTAGTTAATGGCACTGGTTGCTCTTCTGGAGGATCCATTCCCAGCATCCACACAACTGCCAAAAATCTTAGCTCTAACTCCAGTTCCAGAGATATGTTGCCCTCTTCTGGACACAGTGGGTACTGCATTCTCATGGTGAACATACATACATACAGGTAACACACATAAAATGAATCTAAAATAATTTTTTAAAAAATTTATGAGTATATGTGTGTGGTTCTGTGCATTTGGGTGCAGGTGCCCTCAGAGGTGGGGAGGCCCATAGTTTAAAGAAAGAAAAAGAAACA